TCCAAAAAAAACTCCCCATCGGCTTCTCCCGTACGCAAAGCTTACGGCTTTTTCCATCCAAAATTTTCGTCCCATAACCCTAACAGTTCCGGATTTCTTTCGTACCCGACGCATGTAGCCAACCCCTCTTCTGTCCAAACTGATCCAGTTCGCCTCCATCGATCACAAACCTCAAACCATGTCGCCTTCTTCCACTTTGAAAGCCCGATCGAGACCCGACCTTATCCATTGAATCCTCCTCCTTAGCCGCTCTGCTCTACACCGAACTTAAGACGTGCCTCCATAGCTAAATTCGACCTCTCTAGCCTTAAGAGAAAACTATGAGAGAGAGAGATGAGAGAGAGTGGGAGCTTCTATATACTTACCGATCCCTAGCGACACCAAGCCGCCGCCCTCATTCCTCTCTATCGCTACGAAGCCTTCATAGCCGAACTCTTCGACGACTCTCATTCCTCGTCCGAATCGAAAGGCGAGACAGGAGCGCATAGAGGTGAAGGTAACTCCCCTTTCGTGCGCTTATTCAGCCGAATCTGTCGTACAATCCTCCAAGCCACAAAGAAAAAGGTAAGTCGATTTAGTGCTTCGGGGAGTTTGAGATATTACCTAAATCTCTTTGTCTCAACAGGATTCTTGTCTAAAAACCCTTTACAAATTGGTGCTTTATTCCGTTTGTTTTTGAGATCTATCAAAATCTATTAACCCGACAATCCTAATCTATTTGCGAGAAACCTAATTAATTACAGTAATTCAATCTTAACTATTTTTAACTAATTTAGTAATTATTGTAAATTGATTTATTATTAATTGTAATAAGCACGGTACTTAATTTTAATCTAGTCATAATTAATTAGCCACTTAAATAATAATTAATTAATACAATTCTAATTAATCAATATTGTTATAGTACATTGATAGTTAATTTTACAGAGTTAATTATAATAAAAAAAAGATAAGAAAAGAGAACCAAGTGCCCATCCCTCTTGCTTCGATTTGGTGTGCCCCGACACTATCGTTACCAACCATGTTAACAGGTATAATGATCTCTAAACTTAAGAAAACCTATTTTAGCGCTTTTGCACTGCGACAAACAATCACCTTGTGCTACGCTTTTCTATAGCGTGAGTAGGAGGGAATTCGTTCGTGACTGCTTTGTCTGACGTAGCCGGGCAATCTCCTAAAAATCCCATTTTTGGCAATTACACGCTATGAAAATCAATCATGCACGGCTTTTCTCTAGAGCATGGTGGGAAGGGAAGACCTTGGTGCGATGCCTACACGAGGGCGGAAATGAATATAAAACTATTTTTTCCAAACCATAGTTGCCCGAAGACCCATCCACGCCTTTTCTCTGGCATTGGTGGGATTGAAGATGTTTGCCTTGTGGTTCACTTCGACATTAATCCTACAACCTTTTCTCTAGCCCCAGACTCGTAGTAGTTTCCCATTAAAAGGTGAACCCGCGAGGCTGTCAAAAATTTTTGGTGAACATGGGACTGCACTCGACTTTGAATTGAATAGACGACGATTAATCGAAAACAAACTATACATGAACTTACGGTGAGATTTCCAACAAACATAAAAGATTCAACTTCGAATATCACTAAGTGATCACATGAAAAAATTGAACTTCTATGAATTTGAATCCAAAACAAGTGACAAAGAACTACAGATGACTAAGTTGAGCCTGCGATCTCGAGTTGAGCAGGGGACTTTGACTATTAATAAACTTGAACAAGGATCGCAGACTTTTGAACATTTACAGGTGACTCGAACTGAATGACAATGGAACTGGTGTGCACAGAATGTACAACAAGCCTGGACTTGTGGAATTGAATTTTAAGCCTAAGTGACAATCCAAGAAACACTTGATTTGATAATAACATACAAGGCATCAAATGAACATAAAGACATTTGGATTAGATTTAATACAAGCTTGATTTAATACTACTTGCATAGAACTTGAATTTCATGGTTTTGAAGACATAATGCTATTACAAAGGGATTTGGGAATACAAGAATGTTTGTAAG